GGGTAAATTTTATCATTATTTTCGGTTAGTTACGCAGATTGCGGTTCCAATATCACATTATGCGTAACTGTCGAGCTAGGGCTGTCACATTACTGTTTTACTTTTTTTGTGAGTTATAATTCTTACGGTTCAAGACTAGGAAGTAGCTTTATGTAGTTTAGGAATCGATTTTCAATGATTTGAAACAAACTTACTTCTTTTGACCTCAAATCTGTTCTGTTCTTAAGTACTATTTTAGTTGTTTTGGTTCCGCCTTCCTTATTTCATTTCCTATTTCATAAGATCTTCTCCTTGTTAGTGCTCCCAACCCTATCGGCGTATTAAAAAAATAATAACTGTAATTTGCTTGGCCTCAATGTATAAACGAATCTAGAATTAACAATACAGCACTGTGAAATCAATAGATAGTTAAAATAAGGTGACAACCCTATCTGTAACGGAGGTAAATTGCTGAGGTCAAATGCAGTACACGGCTGTATGTCGACATTACTTGTGTTTTATTACACTTTACTTTTTTTAAAAGCTATGGATTCTGCCAGATTTTTTTTTTCAATTTTTTCGGATCTATATTATCAACTAGTACAGAGTATACCATGGTGAAATAAGACATTGTATTATTTTTATACAGTTTTAAATATATTTGTATTTAGGTCATTTATTGTACCATAAATTAACGCATTATTTTCCATACGCATTCAGAAAATTTACGGAATCCGAACTGACGAACCGAAAGTAAGTTCATGTCGACACCGGTTAAAAAGACCATAAGTGTAGCCGTTTTTAGCAACGACTGTACAATCATAAACGTTTATAATACTAAATAATAGTTCTAGTGACATAAAAAGTGTGTACAGGAAATCATTGGCTGTCTGGAATGTTGGAAACAGTAAACCAATGACAGAACTGCAGTGAGATGAATAATGCATAGAGCATTACCATGCAATCGTAGATAGAGCGGTTTTTATAAGTCAATACTAAATGTCAAACAGAACGTCATGTTATTGCGAAATCGACTGGTCTATTGTCATTACTGTTATCTGCTTTAAGTATTTTTTAGACAATATTGCCAGTGTAGAGTCTACCCTAAGTTAGGATTGACTAGACAATAGTCAACTACACTGCGGGTCGACTTCACACATATCTTTGAATTTCTTTAGAGATATGTGCAGGTTGCAACATAATGTTTTCCTTCTTTCGAATTAAAAATGTCGCTTCGTAAGCGCCGCTTAAGGTTTGTTACACGTCGAAATTTAAAAGTTTTGGTACATATTTAAATGTTTCAGTATTCGGCCATGAGTAAGAGTAGCCTTTTTAAAGACTACCACGAAAATTTACTAATAAAGCTTGCAATTACATTAAATATTTTAGTAGTATTTACCAAATTCATTAATAATTGTGCGACATATGTAAGAGTAACGAACGTCTCTGCTTACCCAACTGCGGTATCTTGCGTAATGACACTATTGTTACAAATCACTTTGGATTCTGTGCCGCCTGGTATGCCGCTTACAAAATACTTAAACGATTTGTCATAACATTGTCACAGTTATAAACATCAGTTTACAATCTCACTGGGTAATGTGTATTGCAAATTCTTTGTTATAAAATTTCCTCTAACGTCTGTTATCAGGATGTACCAGTAAGTAGGAAGTCCAGATATAATTACTATATCCATTTTCGTCTCTTCTATGTCCCACGGAAATGTCCTTTAACTTATGCAAAGTTTGTAGAAATGAAATTCACAACCTTGATTATGGAATATCCATAAAAGTCGAGTAGTTCGTTAGTGCTAACAAAGTTAAGCGCCATCTATTGATTATCTTACTTCTTACTTATAATGTTATAAATGCGAAAGTTTACATGGATGGATGGATGGATGTTTGTTAGAGTTAGTAGCCTAAACGGATGAACGGATCTCGATGAAATTTGGTACAGATCTCACTTTTGATTTTTTAATTACACGCGGACGGAATCGCGGGCGAAAGCTAGTAATATGCAATTAAAATTGCCAGTACTTTCCTAAAATGCCTATTCAAATAGTTTTTTGAACACGTTTTATTTAAAACAAAATAAACGAACAGCAGTTAGATTTATTCGTTATACAAATAGCTATTCAGGCGTCAAAACTTAGCCCCTATTCATACATAATAAAAACGCATAACCTTTTGTATGGACCAATCAAGTGTAAACACTATTGTTTTATTGTGTAATGAACCGCAATTTATTACGTACCAAAATGTTCCGCACACCTGGCTCGAACGCAATGTGTAACTGGAATGAGTAGTGCGTCTGATTAGTGAACGTTAACCGGTGGTAGTGGCAGGGGCATTTTTGATAATGTAAGTATTAGTTTTGGGAATTTTGTGATCAAATTATCCGTCTCTAGTGAATTTCTATAAATTCTATTCATTCTGATTGTTAAGAACGTTCACTAGACCATTACACATTAGATACTGGTAGTTATTTGATATCAAATAGCAAATTGCCTTTGCGTACTAAATGTATAACAAGAAACCTGAGCTCTCGCCAAAAAGTTGACAATCTCTGGAATCATTTTAAAAGAGATGCCTCGGCCGCGATAATTTTTAAGGTTTTTTAAAGTGTTCTATTACTTATTTGTGCTCGCTTGAACCTTTCTTTACGCAGAAATTCATTTTCTCTCTTATATGCTATGGTAGATTTTGCCTACGCGGAATTTAAAAAAACTAAGTAAGTAACCTTTAAGGCTACGTTCTACATAGTTACCAATTTCAACGAGATTTGTTTAGACGTAGAGATAAGTAGTAACAAACATCCATCCATCCAAACTTTCGCATTTATAGATGACATTATTTTCTATATTATAAAACGTCAATTTCAAACAACTTTACAGTCTATGCGAAATGTATTGAGAGAATGTACGACTCGTTTTAGCTGTCCCCTTGACCGAGTGTCCACAGCCGCTTGCCTCAGCACTTTTAACTTAATGTTTGCATGATCTAAGCATATTCCGATTTACTATCAACCGTGGACACGTTTTGTACTTGATTTCTTATTTCGACCTTGATATTTAGTGTAAAATGAATTATCTTACTTCTTACTAATATTATAAATGCGAAAGTTTAGATGGATGGATGGATGGATAGATGGATGTTTGTTAGCGTTTGTAGCCCAAACGGCTGAACGGATCTCCATGAAATTTGGCACAGGTTTAGAGCATAGTCTGGAAAAACACATAGGCTACTTTTTATCCCTGGAATAATTACGGTTCCCGTGAGATTCATTAATTTAGTTTTTTAATGTTTACTCGATCATTCTGCAACGGTGCAACATATCTTATTGAAATTTGGCACAGATATAAAACAAAGTCTGGAGTACACATGGGATAAGCTTCATCCCCGATGTGGCATATTGAATAATATCTATGTCGGTAGATGTAAATAAACAGTTGTCATTACGCACTCGCACAATGAAGTTTCATTTATCTAATTCCCAAATACTACACCCGAGAAATGTCCGGTCCCCGAGGGATACGTAGCTTTTTGTAATTTTATAGTTTGTATGTTTTCTAATACCACGCGTACGAAGTCGCGGGCAACAGCTCGTAGGTAATAAATAGTCTATCAGATATACGTCAAATATAATCCTTTATCTATACATATAATAAAATTGGATTGTCTGTTTGCTATACTAAAAAAAAAAAATATTTCGGGAAGATGTTTTTGGGTTGCTGATAACGAAAATCACATTCAAAATTGTTTTGTCTGTCTGTCTGCAAGCCGCGTTTGTTCCGGGTAATCTCCGAAACGGCTGGACCTATTTCGACTGGACTTTCACTGTAGCTAGCGGACATAGACTGCTATATTAAAGGCTCCTTTTTATATTTATATTGCGTGGACGAAGTCGCGGGCAACAGCTAGTATTAACATAAAAGCGAAAGTATGGATGTCTAGATGTAACTACGTATCTCTAACGGTATAACGTATCTCAATAAAATTGGTAAAAATATTGAACTTTAGGTAGTTCAGTTATATTAACTTCTTTAAAAGTAGAACATGGTTACCTTTACACCAATCTTGGTCATTCTTGCGAAATACTTTACGAAATATATCAAAGTTTTAACAGCAAAATTGTCAGTCTGTTGCAACATGTCCATTGTCTCACGTCACGATACAATGCTGTGACGGCGTTGTTGGTGTCCAAGGTGTTTCTCATGCTTGACGCTATCTTGATACGATGAGGTCAAACGCACTAACAAAATCTCAAAACTTTGGCTGTTTCATTGAATGAGTTTTAAATGGTTATTTAGGACGGCTTTTAGGCGGCATTAACTGCTGTACAGTCACTTAATGGTTACTTAAAATTTATAGATAAATTCAATATTATAAATTAAGGTAAATCAAATTGTATTTAACAATATTCTATGAATCATTTCCGACTGGTTGTGACCCTGTTTGCGAGTAACAAAGCAATCATTCAATTCAATTTTAACGGTTCCCTGATAGATCTTAAGGTACAAGGTCGGGTCGATTTAGTTAACTCAATTACTGTTGCAATTAGACACAAGTACCTATTCATTTGTACAATATTATTTAATTCCACTGAACCACCTTGATAGGCTAATAAGACCTGGTCACCCCTAATTAGTCTCGAGCCCCTTGTCAACTCATCGAACTGACGATTTGATGTACAATCGGGGAATATGGCAGTCTTCTTAGAAACTACAGTCAACAATTTTGTAGCGTGACGACGCGGAACAATAACCAATAGGACGCAGTTTCAAATTGCTTTAAATTATTATCCTATTTGCGTAACTCACTGCGACCTAGTTGGTGGTTTGTGAGAGAAAAAACTAAGAGAAAACCTGGTTGTAAGGAACAAGGAAATCTTTCTGTAAGTGGAACATCGTGTATTTCCGCGCCTGTACTTATGGTGAAAAGTTGGTATTTCATTTAAGAATATAAATACGGATTACGTGTGTGTATTTGAAACGTTTTTAACAGATTTTTATTTAATTTCAGATCGACGAGTATGGCCCGGTGGCATTGCGTCGTCCTGTTCGCGACGTTATGTTTAAGCAGAGGTAATAACAATATTCACATAATTATTATAATAATGTCTCAATTTAATTTTTTGCTTTATTATTTCTGACGTTCTTCGAGGCACGGATCATTGCAAACATAAATTATTATTGAAACAGTGATCGGTTGTTCAAATGTTTTGGTTTCATAATCCAAAAGCATAATATTTGATAGAGTTAAATTACTGTCTCGTCGGTATAATAACAATGTCAATATGCATGGAATTCATTGTAATAATATGTTTATAAAATAGTCTGAAGTACACAATTTATTCCTTTGTGTTAGTTCCTAATATTATAATTTTGTTTTGCACATAAAAGGTTCAGGAAACTTCCGAGTGTCCTTAATCTTGTCTATTCTACTTTTCGATTTAAAGCCGTATTGATATTAGCATTTATTAGTTAACTAGCTTTCGCCCGCGACTCCGTCCGCGTGGATGTTATAAAAACAGAAGTGAGTAGCCTATATGTTCTTCAAGACTATCCTGTACATCTATACCAAATTTCATCGAAATCTTCAGCCGTCAAAACAAACTCAAACATCCATCCATCCATCTAAACTTTCGTATTTATAATATTAGTAAGATATTCTATTGAAATCCAGTATATATGTATGAATTGTGTAATATAATTGTATATTTCCTTGGTATTCCTCACACAACATATATCATAAAAAATCAATTTCACTGTCCCTATAATGGGTGCGGTCAATATTTTCAAAGTGAAAGCTTAATAAATAATACATGTGCGTACTTGAGTACATATGTACTTACAATGGCGAAGTAATTAGCACTTACCTTTGACTACAGTGTCTTACGTTTCACTTCAGATTTTCTACGAAACCAATACGTTAATTATCTCTTACGGGCTAGACAAACTAGATTTGCAGAAAGGGTCATGTTAAATGTATGTATTTTATTCCAAAACCATATATTCATATACTTTAGTTATACATAATCTACAAACACTTAGCTTATTGCCGCGATTCCTGCGTCGAATTAAATGCCAAATGTTTCTTCCAGACTGTTGTATGTTCATGCAAAATTTCCCCGCGTTCCGATAAGTCGTTCTGGAGATACTTTCTAACAAATATCCATCTATTAAACGTTTTCATTTTTAATATTAGTAATATAAGATTTTTTTTACAAAATAACTGAAGAAATGAAATAGCATAATTGCTGCCATGTATGGAATTTTTTGTTTCTGTTTGCCATATATTTGGTTTGAAGTTTATCTGCTTACATGATTTAATAAACTAATACTAGGTTCAATTTGAATATATTCTGATTTAAATAAAGTATTTCAGTAAAGGATAGATGCCACAATGCTTTGTTTTCAGGATTATCGAACAAGCTGCCGGGGTTCGCGGGAGATGTTGACAACCTAGCGCTGTCAGAGAGCACTGCGGTCGGTCAAATTGTACATACGCTGAATGGAACTGATCCTGAGGGCTTGCCGGTATGTCTTACCTTGTACAGTCGGGGAATCTCGCAGTGTCTCTTAAAAGCTAGTCTCTTGGATGTATGCAGTGACACGATGACGCTAAATGTCTGAACGAAAAATGTTTTTTTTTTGGAAATATAATGTGGCAAACGAGCAAGCGGCCATCTGAATCCACCGAAATGGAGAGCGACCGCTACACATAGACATTCTCAATTTCAAATGCGTTGCCTACCCTTAATTGACGGAGAATACGCACATATAAAGGACATTTCCTCTTCCTATGCGTCTCCTCCATTGTCAAATCCACTTTTCCTTCTCATCCTTTCCTCTTAAGAAAAAGGTGGAAAAGGAAAAGGGGCTAAAATTAGGCCTCCCACACCACATTTACACTGATACCGTATTGCCGTAGTTTGTCTCGTCGCAAGGAATAAGGCATTTATTATAGAACACCGCAGATTTCCGTCACCGTACATAATATAAACAAAAAATCTTTTTACTTCTCATTTGATATGCGATTACAGTAAATTATTTCTCTGTGATATTTTCAGGTGAAATACGATCTTGTTGGTACGAACAAGTTCTCAGTGAATCCGGACACTGGCGATATTACCTTGATACAGCCTTTGGATAGAGAAGTAAGTTAACAATATTTAACAGATAAAAACCTAATAAAAATAATTATGCATTACTAAAATGTTGTGTAGAAAATGTTCCCTAAATATAAACGCAAATAAATCTTCAATTAATTTCCCTTTTTATAAATAATCGTATTTTATTTCCAGAGAGAAGATACAATAAAGTTCCTAGTCTCCGTACAAGACCAAGATCCCGAAGGCGTAAATAACCTGATACACAGTCAGCCTATGACAGTCATCGTCTTGGATGAGAATGACAACCCTCCTACATTTAAAAATGTTAGTATCTGTCAACGAAACAAACCCGTTGGTTGATATCGCTATCACCTAGCCCTGGAGTCTTAATTAAATTATTAATGGCCGGTTTCTCAGTTATTTAACTATTCGTTAGTGTTATTGGTTAAGACATGAAATGCTTTTCAATACGTAACATAAGTTTTATTGCTAAAACTTAGGCCAACCTAACACTAATGATGTAATAATTGAAAAGTTCAAACCCAGCATAAGTAAACTAAATCAAAAGATAATATTCTGCAATCTGCAGTAAACTTAACAAAAAAAAATAATCTTGTTTTTTTCAGAGTCCTTACGAGGTGGATGTAGCAGAAAATGAGGATGTTGGAAAGACGATACTTACCAAAATCGAAGTGGAAGATCGAGATTCAGTAGGAGACAGTCTGGAAGTAGGCTGTGTGCCCAGTGAACAGGTTACACTTCTTATAACTCCATCTATCGGTTAAAATATAAAAAGAAATACGACAATTCCGCCTAGTGGACAAAAATGAAACTAATGTTGAACGCGATACTAGCGCCAATCCCACCGAATAAAACTTTTACGTCTTTCTCTTGTAAAGACTTGATATTTGCCAAGTTCTATCCAACTATAGTTAGCTGCATATATTCTAGTATTATTTTTAAAAATATCACTTGAAATATGTACATTTTAATTTCATTAACTGTTTGTATGTATATGTTGTGTTATGTTGACAGTGGCCGCAAGCATGCGAGGTATTCGAAGTGACGACTCTAAACTCCACTGCCAACCACTACACCGGGGCGCTGGTGCTGAAGAAGAAGCTGAACTACAATGAGAACCAGTTCTATCAGTTCCTGTTGTATGCTACCGTAAGTTAAATTTAACCTAGGTTTCTACTGTTGGAACACAGTTTTGTGTTACGGTAGCAGTTTATTGTTAGTCTGTAATATTTTAAAACTGTATAATCAATATTACTCTGTGCGACATTCCAGGCTACGCTGAACAAGTCTGTAATATTCTAGGATATTATACTAAACGTAACTCTATGTTACATTCCAGAACGATACACTGATCGTTATTCCATGTTACATTCCAAAATAGAACACTGAACATTATTCCATGGTACATTCCAGAGTAGAACACTGAACGTTATCCCATGTTACCTTCCAGGACGGCACACTGAACTCCTCGGCGCAGGTGGAGGTGAAGGTGGCGGACGTGCAGGACTCGCCGCCGGTGTTCAGCGGCGCGCTGAGCGGCGCGCTGGCGGAGGACGCGCCGGTCGGCACCGCGGTGCTGACGGTGCGAGCGCGCGACGCCGACCGCGCGCAACCGCGGGACGTCAAACTGGACCTTATCACTAGTATGTTTTTTTTTAACAGGCATCCCTATGACTCCCTCTCGTACCCCTGACATGTTGGGATAAGGGATTTTGGGTACCATGAAAATTTTTACCTAATATCACAAATTACTATCTAAAAATACAAATTTACTATCCTATTATCACAGCTTTCAAATGCTAAGACACCTTGATACCTTAGATACCTTGTTTCAACTAATAAAAAGTGACAGCTCACTAGCGCCCTCTGTTTAAGACTGTCACAAGCCCTTCGTTGTATCAGCTGACTTGTAAGAGCGCACACCGTTGTCTAAACTATCTCATAACTCTTTACTCTCGCTTTGATTCCTATGACCTTATATGGAGGTACACTCATTTTTAGTTGTGCAACTAAACAGTTGAATTTTGTGTAAAACAATCGACAATCGCACAACAGTTGTGCGATAGTTTAGTCAAAGGTGTGCGCGCTGTAAAAACAAGTGAACACAAAAGTGTAATTTTATTTTCCTAAGTAGGTTTTAATTTTTCCGACATATCTAATTGCAATAGTAGTGCCACACTCACCGAGCTAGATATCTTTGACTATACGTTGGATATTTTATTATTATACTAGCTTGAGCCCGCGACTCCGTCCGCGTGGAATTTATAAAAACAAAAGCAAGTACCCTATGTGTTCTTCCAGACTATCCTCAACATCTATGCCAAATTTCATTGAGATCCCTTCAGCCGTTTAGGCTACAAACTCTAACACACATCCATCCATACATCCATCCATCTAAACTTTCGCATTTATAATATTAGTAAGATTGCAATGTGATGCGATAGAATTTTTTTTATTATGTTTATAATATTGACTTTCGTGGATATTAATAGAATTTTATATAATTCATAATATCAATAATGCGATTTAGTGTGCATAGTGGATTTAATATCGTAATTACTTCAGATCCTCTGGATTTCTTCTGGCTGGACAGCAGCACGGGCGAGCTGAAGACTGCCAGGCCACTGGACAGAGAGGCACTTGATGATCCTAACTCACCTTTAAACCTTACTGTTCGGGTAAGTCCTATTTACTTAACCAATTCTTCAATTAGCAAACGTTTGTGAATCACAATCAAATATGCCTAATTAAAAAAAAAACATCAATCGCACAGTAATTTATTTCAATAGAATATTTTAGATACTACATAACTGGGTACTCGACTAAATGACTAGCCCAGTAATAGGCATTAAGAACGCATTATACAGGATTGTTTTGTTAATTACTAATAAATTATATCAAACTAGTTGTTGATCGCGACTTCGTCTGCATGAAATTAAAATATAATAAAAACAGTCTATGTAGCACTGATAACGTAGCTTTTTAATTGTGAAAGAATTTTTGAAATTGGCATAGTAGTTGTAAAACCAAAAATACAAATCGTTCCTTCTTTAGTTTTACTATAGATAAAAAAATCAAATCCTTTTTCTGTAAAAGGTCACCCTGTATATCCTTGAAAATAATAATGAATAAAAAAAATTGCAGGCAACAGAGTTGATTAATGGTATCCCGGCGGTGAGTAACATAACATCGTCAGTGGCGACGGTGACGGTGACCATCCGCGACGTGAACGACGAGCCGCCGCGCTTCAGCCGCCGCGAGTACCACGTCGACGTGCCGGAGAGCCTGCCGGTGGGAACACCGCTGCCGCACCTCGACATGGTGGTCACCGATACTGATCTTGTAAGCTCATAAACAATTAATTTGTGTCCTAGACTATGTTCTATGACTGCCACTTTTAATAAGATCTGTTAAGCTATTCTGGAAATACGTAGTAACATAAATTTATCTAAATTTTCGCATTTATTAAGCAAGATTTGATAGACGTAATCGATTATTTGTTACTGTGGGAGATATTAGTATTGATTTCGCATTTTGATAGAAAATGAATTCTTAATGGTAAAAAACTGGTAAAACAGTTCACAAATGTTTTTGTGAACTGTAAAATGCTAAGTATAACTTTTAAATATTATGATTAAAAATGATTTTTCCAGGGTTCAAATTCCGTGTTCTCTCTGCGTCTGTCGGACGAGATGGGCGCTTTTGTTGTGGAGCCCGCGATCGCCACGGGGAGCGCCACCGTCACCCTAAGACTGAATACTAGCCTCGACTACGAGGACCCCAACCAGAGGAAGTTTATACTAGAGGTTAGTACAATTAAATGGTATAATGACGCCCAAAAAATAAAGTTTTCATGTTCAGTGTTTTGACATATAAAAAGAAAATATTATATTCGTATTGAAGCTACTCATCAATAGATGGTGCTGTATTTTTCACAAAACCGTCGCTAGATGGCGCGATTTTTTAATTTAAAAAATTATCGACACATGGCCCTATAACTTAGAAATATTAAACTAGATGGCGCTGATTGCAAATGTTTCTTGTCCAGGTGATAGCAGAAGAAGTGCACACATCTCCCAAGTTGTCTTCGAAAGCTAGCGTGACGGTGTCACTGAGGGACGTGAACGACAACGCGCCGCGCTTCCCCGAGGGTCCGCACACCGCCAGCGTGCCCGAGGCCGCGCCGCCGGGCACGCGGGTCACTGCCTTGAGAGCCACCGACAGGGATACTGGACGGTAAAAAACACTGTTTTTAAGTTAAACCAATTATTGTATAATTGTTAAAATAAATCAATAATCGAATAGCCTACAAAAGAAGTCCGCAGTAACAAATATTTTAGTTCAATATTTACCCGTACCTTGTGAATTAACCTTTTCAGTTTAATTAATACTTGCAATCGTTATTATCATCTAAGTTTTCCTTCCCCATAGTTTAGCGATATCGATAATCGAAACTTTGTCTCAGAGAAACTTTTGTCTTTTCCCTTTATTATACAGACTTACAGACATATCGTATGTACATAGGTTTGGCACCGAGGGCATAGTGTACGAGGTGTCGGGCAGCGGCGCGGAGCTGTTCGTTGTGGACCGGCGCAGCGGCGTGCTGGCGGTGGCGGAGTGCGCGGCGCCGGGCACGCCGCCTTGTCTCGACTACGAGACCAGGAAGGACTACTTCTTGCAATATAAAGTGAGATTGCTTGTATTTTTGTAGTTATAATGAGAAAAAAAAATGTAAAAAAATGCAGATTTTTGTTATGAGGTAACCCTTAGACAACTCAAAAACTACTGGGCCGATTTCAATAATTCTTTCACCTTTAAAAAGCTACGTTATCAGTGAGTAACATAGGCTGTTTTTTTATTATTTTTCATTTTCACGCAGGCGAATTCGCGATCAACAGCTAGTTATTATTAAAATGAAGCATATAATTACGTACTTGTTGAACTTTAAATTTAACTCTACTACATCTATCTCTTTCTTTCTCCAGGCGACAGACGAGGACGGCAGAGGTCAGTCGACGGTGACATCACTGCAGCTGTCCCTCTCCGACTCCAACGATAACGCACCTGTCTTCCTCACTCCTGTGTACAAGGCTTCTATAGACGAGGATGCTGTTAAATTTGAACCTGAACTACAGGTATGTATGCAAGATTATTTTCTAATTCTAGACTAGACTAGAAATAAAGATAGGTTTGTTTGACATAACCTTTAAAAAAAAACTTTTTAAATGTATTAATTGCTTCAGGTAACCTTGAAATTTGAGTTAAATGAGAGAATTCTTTCTTTTAGCATCGATATGAGATATTTACACTAAGGAGTATTTAGTGGCTGCTTAAGTTGTAGTTAAGGTTATAAAATATAAAGTGAAATATTTGTACAAAAATTAAATTTTATTTTATAGGTGCAAGCGCGTGACGCGGACGTGACGTCAGACATCCGGTACTCCATCATCTACCCTCCCCGCCAGCCCTTCTGGATAGATCCGCAGTCGGGCAAAATCGCCGTCAGGGGGGAAGTCGCCGCTGATAACTCCACTAACAACCTCATAGTCCTTACTGTTCTAGTGAGTGAATACATCTGTTTTTTTCTAATTTTATCTTGTAAATAAAGCATTTTATATAATAAATAATAGCTTATAACATGGAGAGAAAATATACCTTTCTAATGGTAAAATAATTATTGAAATCGGTCCAATAGTTTTTGAGTTTATTAGTTACAAATATAAGATTTTTATTAGTTAGAGTAAAATGCAGTGTTTTTTCAATTTGTAAAATATTGTACATCACTAACATGAAATAGTAAAATAAAGCATTTAAAAATTACTGTTAAAATGGGATAGATAAATAAAATAGTTTTGTACCTCAGGCAACAGATGGCGTGCATAACGCGACGTGTTCAGTAGAGGTGACTGTGCGTGACGTCAACAACCACGCTCCTGTCTTTGACACTGACAAGTATGACGCTGACGTCATCGAGAACGCTCCCATTGGTCAGTATTATAGTTAGACAAGGTTGTCTAGTCACATGGTTCACATGGTAGAAAATGTATAGAAAATAAAAATTTAGTTCCACTTATATCAGGTGATATATAATAAATTCATTTATGTTACTTTGTTGGTCTGTATGTTCATATGCGTTTTCACATATAGTAAAATACAATATTGTATTGAACCTCAACATTATTTAATATTGTTAAAAAGTCATTTTTGATGAATCTTTGAGACTTTAAAAACATATCCATACATTACAGTTTTGATGCGTATTTTAGAATATGGTCATCTATGCTATGACATTTTTTTATAGAATTCTTTTTGTAGATAACAATTTTTTTTCTTAATAAATGAACTCTATACAGGTACGGAGGTAGCGGTAGTGCGTGCTAGCGATCTAGACAGTGGTCTAAACTCCCGGCTGCGGTACTCGGTGCAGCGCGGCGCACTCGACGCCTTCGCAGTCGGCGCAGACAGCGGCGTCGTCACCCTCACTGATACACTCGACTATGACAAGAAGAACACATATTCTATACAAATTATAGCGACCGATATGGGTATATGAAATTTATTTTGCTAAAATTCGACTATAGAATAAAAAAAAAAACTTATGCGCGGTTCACACTTGGCCAGTTGTCAGTTCCGAGTGTCAGTCATAATTTGTATGGATTTGGGTGCCAGATAGCGTTCACTGTACCAGTTGTTTACCAAACCAGTTATTGAGCTCTTCTGGCCATTATAAGTAGATTATTCTTCCAAACTAAGTTGCTATTAAGATTCGTTGAGCCCTTTTGGAGTTACCTTACATCTATTTAAGATAGTAAACGTTCGCATTTGTAATATTTTAAGAATATTGTGTTTAAAAAATTAATTATTTTAAAATTGGGTTTTACGCCATCTAGTGGTCAAACTAAGCAACTTTCAATACTATTGTTTGGTAAAACCAACCGTAAAATGCAATTTACACAATTACATTTATTGACTTGTTAATATTTAACACGTTAACTGCCATTGTTTTATCGACTTAAATAAGAAAATAATATAGTGTAATTTAACGTGTTAACACTAAATTTATTCCAGGTATCCCCAGCCAGACTGGTACCACGGAGTTAACAGTCCACGTAATCAACGTGAACGACAAGAAGCCTATCTTCACGCCCAGCGTACAGAGAGCCGAGGTGTCAGCGGACGCGGAGGTTGGAACGGTCCTGCATAAACTGGTGGCTGTGGATCCTGACGTCACGGACCCCAGTCAGCTGCTGTTCGAAGTATCGCATGAGACGCCCATACGAGCCGTGGATACTAACGGCAATGAGGTTTGTGGCTTATTAAAAACCGTATTATTCAAAAATATATTGCGATTGCTGACAGCCTATGTACATGGCAAGGAAGTATGTTATTATAGTAATAAAAATGATTATTACTGAATAGTTTTTAGTCCAAAGAGCTAAGAGGCTGATTAATAACATATTTTAAACATTAAACATTAAAGCTATTGCCCGTGACTCCGTCCGTGTAGAAATAAGAAAAAACAAAAGTAAGTAGCCTAAATGTTCTTCCAGACTATGTATTACATCTGTGACAAATTTCATCCAGATTCGTTCAGCAGTTTAGGCACATTCTAACAAACATCTATCTAAACTTTCGTATTTATATTAGTTTTAGTAAAAAAAAGAATTAAAACGTGCTGTAATTGCTGACATCTTATAAGTAGTGTGTGGTTATGAGTATAGACTAGCTGTTCCCGTGCGGCTTCATTCGCATGAAATTATGAAAGTTTTATTTAATTGTTTACATTTGTCAAATTTGTCAAAATGACATGACATGACACGACTAACCTTAGCAATCTTTCTTTCTTGATGTTGGCAGCAACTTATGGTCTCTTTCCCACATTAGGGTTTTTATCCAAGATATTTAGCCCCTAAATTTAATGGCGTTAAAATATATAGCCTAAAGCGTGACGTAAGTGTAGGACTTTTTAATAAAAAAAGAATTATTTAAAAAATATGCTGTATTTGCTGACATCTTAGGCAACAAAGAAGTGTGTGTTTACGCTTTATTATAATAGTATAGGTAATTAAATAGGATTTCACATCGTAGGTGTTGGACGCGGGTGCGCTGGGTTCGTGGTTCTCAGTGGGGGGCGCGGGCGAGGTGGCGGTGGCGGGCGCTCTGCGGCGCAGCCTGGCCGCCGTGCTCACCCTGCCCGTGCAGGTCACCGACACCTCCGCAGCCACCTTACAACGATCATACGGTAAACACACAAGATAAACTTGACAGGTACAGTCGCGGAAATACGCGGTGCTCCACTTGTACTCTTGTACTGCCTTGTTCCTTGTAATGAGACATCGCATTAATAACTTTGTCGAGAGTACTTGAATATTTTTTAACATAAGTGTACATCATTTTGTACTATACTTTTACCACTTGACTGATTTTTAAATCCATTAATAATAATAATTTATTTTTATTTTAAAATCGCTCAAATGGTGAAAGTATAGTATCATGTACTCTGCTGTCAAAAATATTGTCCATACTACGAGTCGACTAAAAAAAATTTAATTCGTTTATTTCCACTGGCTTTTGTAAGCAATACCGTCTGCGAGGAAATTAAAAGACAGTACTAAGTAACCTGTGTTTTTTTTTTTCAAATTTTATACCACAAATTTCATCACAAATTCACAACGATTGATCTATCTAAACTTTGGAATATACAGGATGATTCTTAACGGATTGGTATTTCCGATTTTTTTTACAAAAAAAAAATAACTGAGTTAAGGATCACCCTGTATTATACAATATTTACATGATTAAAATGCACTATTTTCATATTCCAGGTGAATTAATAATAACGATAGTGGATGTGAACCGGTACGGGCCGGTTTTCACGGAGCCGGCGTACCTGGAGTCCGTACTGGAGGAGCAGCCCGTGGGAACCGTGCTTAATACGTACTCCGCCACCGACAGAGAGACACCTATCGCCAGTATTGTTATATACCCACCTACACCATATTTCCAGATAGATAATGTAACTGGTATGTGGGATTTTTTTAAATTAATTTAACAACAAAATATATCAAAAAAAGAAGGATGTTTCTCTTTGTCACATTTTAAGAGTCTAGTAATGATTTTTTTTATTTATTTAGATTTAGATATACAATAAATTTTGGTACTACAAATTTACTAGCTTACAAAACAAAATAGATATTTTTTCTCAGACTATCTTCTACATCTACGACAATTACAAGATCCATCCATACATCCATCTGAACTTGATAATATTAACAACACTACATAAGAAGCAATAAACTTGCAAACGTACCCATTTTCATTGCAATTAAGTATACGCAAATTCCAGGCGTAGTGAAGATCGCGCAACGCATCGACTACGAGCAAGTGAAGCGTTTGAACTTCACATTAGTGGCGTACGACTCCGGCGTGCCGCAGCGCTCCACGCCCGCTAGTGTATCTATAGATGTTATCAATATAAATGACGAGGAGCCCGTTTTCGCTGCTGCCGAGTATGATGCAGCCGTGTTGGAGAATGCGGTCGCTGGTACCAGTGTCCTTACTGTTACTGCCGTGGATAAAGATGAAGGTAGACTAAAAAAATATTTGTCAATTAACAATAAAGTTTGAATTCATTTGTTTAAATTGTCAAGACTTCGTCTACATGGATAAATATAACCTATGTTATCATTACTAATGTTATAAAGAGGAAAGATTTGGATTTTTGTATGTATTGAAATAACTCAAAAACTACTGGCTCATTATAAAGCTTTTTTTTAACGTGGGGAAATGCCTAACGCATACCACCCTTGCAGGGACAAGGGTGGTTATGTCGGATTTGCGCCGACTAAAACCCCACGGTGGCCTCCAACTGCCATAATAAAACTATTTTATCACTGAGTAAGAAAGGCTATGTTTTTACTATTTTTAATTTCACGCGGGCGAAGTCACGAGCAAAACCTAGTTGAATGATAATGCAGCTATCTAATAGTGACAGAATTTTTAAAATTAGTTCAGTAGTTTTTGAGTTTGTTATATGTAAAATACAAATCTTTCCACTTTAAGCTTGCTACACGGCTGTTTACACGATACACGCAAAACATTAACTGTCAGTTAAACTGTACAGTTCTTGGTTTTGTCTATGTCAGTTTTAACTGTAGATTCCGCTTGTCATATTAAAACTACAATTGAAACGAAATATGTATGAATGAATGAATGAATGAATGAATGAATGAATATGTATTTATTGCCACAAAATAGAAATTACATAAAAGGACTTATTCTAAAGGAAACAAAATCGTGGCAAAAGGTAGCCAGCTCAGCTTATGCAGGACGGACTAAGCCGTTCCTTCCAATATGTGTAGTAGGCTTTATAATATTAGTATTGATAACCGTTCTATGATATTAATCGTTATTGAGTATAGAAATTAACATTTTTATATATTAATTTACAGGAGAATTCGGTGAAATAACCTACAGTATATCAGGAGAACTGTCCAGTTTGTTCACAATCGACACAAATACTGGAATGATATCAGTGGCAGAGGGCGCTGTTATCGACAGAGAGAACATCACCGACATCTATCTGCGCGCGGTGGCAACTGACAACGCGCCGCCACAGATCAGAAAAACTACAAGCGTTCCTGTGAGTATACTACTTATATGCTCCAGTATGTCAATAGGAGTGAATGTATTGCACTCCTCTGTGGCAAATAATGTAAAACAACTTTATGTGCTTAGTTGTAAGGTTCTTTTTTCCTTAACCGTAAATTCTAGATACTTTAAATAGAATGCCACATATGCTCAGTCCTACCCTGAGAGACTATAGCTGTAAACAAAAATTCAAACATATATTAATACTAGCTTTCGCCCGCGACTTCGTCCGCGTGGAATTTAAAAAAAAAACAAAAGTGAGTAGCCTATGTGTTCTTCCAGACTATCCTCTACATCTATGCCAAATTTCATCGAAATCCGTTCAGCCGTTTAGGCTACAAACTCTAACAAACATCCATCCATCCATCCATCTAAACTTTCACATGTAATATTGTTTGTAGGTGCACATAAAAGTGATAGACGAGAACGACAACGCGCCGGTGTTCAGTCAGAAGGTGTATAAGAGTACGATTGCGGAAAATCTGCCGCTTGCGCCCGCCGCGGCCATTTTGCAAGTGCGTGCGGAGGACAAGGACGAGGGGGACAACGGGAAGATCCGCTACAGCATTGAAGATCAGAGCGAACCAGGCAAGCTTTCGAAATTGATAACTAGATGGCGCTATTGTTAATTTCTAAATTTTACTATTGAGCGATTTTTTTCAAATTTTGAAACTCTTTCAATAATTTTCTCTATTTCTATCGTTCGGTCGTTTATTGAGACAGTATTTCAAAAGATTAGGATACGGATTGAGATTTTCGATTGATAATATTGCATATTGAGACTGGCCGTTAGTGGTTTATAACCCTTTGCTTTATAGTGTCTCTAAGTTAAAAGTTTCAACCTAATATATTATGAATTATTTGTAATCACCAGATACATTTGTCGTGGAAGCCAGCAGCGGCATCATCTCCCCAGCGAAGGCGGTGGTAGGGAACACCACGTACCAAGTGACAGTGCGCGCGGACGACGGGCGACACACGGCGCGAGCGCGCGTACACGTCGCCGTGCTGAGTGTCAACAGACACAGCCCTGTGTTCGTGCAGCCGCCGCCAGAACAGCGATACATTGAGATACCTGAGGTCAGGAACGTTACTTGTAAATGGTTTAAGATTTCAATCATAGATGGCGCTGTTACAAATTGTAGCTAAATATATTCAAACAAGATGTTATGATTGGCTATAGTTAGTGCGTGTGCCTTTAATAAGATAGGCTATAAAACAGAGTATATACGAAAACTATTAAAACCTGCAAATAACTTTCTTAACGAAATCGTATTTAGTGTTGTGAATGTCCATAGGTGTCGGAATTTCTCTCTTCTACTGTGAAAAATTTTATTCTGTTTGCTGTTGAATTTTAAAAACTGTAACTATTCTGGCAATATAGCCAGTTGTGGTATCTTAATATACAAAGTTGACAAGGGTTACAAATTAGAATAATTACTACAAAAGTGCGCATTCCAGCTATTAGCAAGTTACAATAAGATACATATTTTTCCCCAGAACGCAGCTCAGGCGGATTATTTAATAACAACAATAAAGGCAACAGACTCTGACAGCGGAGAGAACGGCCGCGTGTCGTACTACCTGAAAGTGGACAACCGCAACGTACGCGACACGCCGGAGTTCAGCCTGGACACAGACACGGGGGAGCTCAGGACTAAGACATTCCTGGATAGAGAACATAAGGCTGAATATCAGGTCATTTGTGTAGTTCGATAAATCTTAATAAGATTTTGACAAAAAGCGCCATCTATTAGCTGCTTTTTAAAACATAAAAATTAAAACTTTCAATGTGGTAAATATCCTAAAGTACAATTATAAGGACTATGATCGGTGGATTGCTGTCATCATCATCACCTTTTATTTGGCCTCAGTTGATGATGAAGCCCAATGAATTCCACAGGATGCGGGCCTCCCTCCCACATCCTACGACATCCATGGTATATTAAATCGTTGTTCTTGAACTATATACATCTATTTATTTATTCAAAAAGGCCATATTTATGGCAAATAATGCACATTTTTTATAAATGTATTTTCTTTACTTAAATATCCGTGTCTCCTTTACTTTATTAAGCCAACAATAACTTCTCTTACTTCATATTAACAGCTAAATAAGTGGTAATAATGACAGTTGGTGATAGCTGCGGTGGACAACGGCACGCCGGCACAGTTCGAGAGCCTGCGGCTGCTGAGCGTGCTGCTGGCGGACGACGACGACAACTCGCCGCGCTTCTCGCAGCGCCACTACCGCCTCGCCATCTCTGAGAACATGCCGCCGGGTGTCATTGTCGGTGAGGATATAACCAGGGGGTCTTTCTTTGCGATTTGGGGGTCCTTTAATCGAAATCTCAAGGAACTGTCGTTGTTTTTTATATGAGAAGAGGGCAAATGAGCGGCGGTAACACAGAGGTTAACACTATTAGATTACAATGGAGTTCCAGCTGCTTGTTTGCTTTCTTCTTGTACAAAAAGGGTGTATAATTGTTATTCAAGAGGGGGGAGCCGATGAATAAGAGGGGGGGGGCTATCCGTTGATCAAAAGGAGGGCTGTACTGTATGCTTGGGACGTCTGCTCCTGTCGGTGGCTCGGACACGACTGACTTGCTGACATGACACCATGACACCAGTAAACAGTGTGGCCATACACTACAGGGGCTATCAGAGAATCAAAAGGGAACTTATCTGATGGTCAAAAGAGGAGGGATGCTATACTTGTTTCTTTCCAAAGATAATGATTATCATCTTGTGGTCCAATTTGTAATTTAAAAAGTTACAATTCGTTTTTTAGTTATTTATATAGGTCTATATGGAAGGCAGCTTAGTATTTTGAGTAATTTATTTTTGTTATACATATCTAAAATCTCTAGGGGGTTTTTAACAGTAATTTAGTAAACTTAAATTTAACTTATAGGAACAGTGAAGGCGATAGACAAAGACTCAGGAGACAACGGCAAGGTGTACTACCACATCCTGGAGGGCAACCGCGAGGGCGCCTTCACGCTGCACAGGACACAGGGCATCCTCAGAGCCAACACATCCTTCGATAGGTAACATTAAATAAGAAAATATTTTATTGTATCAAAATAGCTATTACCAGTGATTCTGTTTGCGTGCAGTAAAAAAAAAACACTAAAGTAAGTAGCCTAAGTGGACTTCGAGATTATTCTCTAGATTTATGCTTAATCTCTTCGAGATCCGTTTAGGCAACAAACTCTAACAAACATCCATCCATCCATCCATCCATTTATAATATTAGCAAGATGTGTTTTATCGAGTCATGGATGTTTAAATAATGTGTCATTGATTAGCAACTCAAGCCTTTCTAAGAGACGCTTGAATCTATCAAATCAAGAGACAGTTTATAGATTTTCATTTAACCATAAAACCCTTAGTGCGAATTTTCTGATTATTAATGTTTTATTCTTGCTATATTTTCCAGGGAAAAGCAAGATGAATATACAATGACGATCTACGCGAGTAACAATCCGATATTGGAGCACGCGGCGGCCATCTTGAACTCCATAGACAACAGCAGCGACAGCCAAGATGGCAGCGTCGCCGCCGTCACTGTTACCATACTCGATGAAAACGATAACGAACCGAAATTCGGACAAGAAGTTTATTATGCAGGTAAATCTTAGTTTTTTTAATCGGTTGAAATACTTGTCAGTGTAATTTACACCAGAATTACATTGTCTTGTGTACAAAGAGGCTACGAAAATACATTCGGTTCGATTCGTTACAAATCTGATGTGTGTAGGCAAAACTGCTGGAGAGCGTCGGTGGCTCAGTGGTTTAAGCAGTTGACTTGTAATCTACAGGTCTTGGGTTCGAATTCCGCCATGTACCAATGTGATTTTCGATTTTTCGAATTTATCCGACGTTCTTACGGTGAAGGAAAACATCGTGATGCCTGCACATATCGGCGAAGAAATTCAAAGATATGTGTGAAGTCAACCAACCTGCATTGGGCCAGCATGGTTGACTATGGCCTAGTTACCCCTATAAGAATAGGCTCCGAGCCCCTCGGTGGGGATATATAGTGAGCTGGTGATGATGATAGTACTTTTCAAACAAGTTACCGGTTAAAATCTCTGCCACAAGCCAAGTCCTGCTTACTGAAATGGTTGCTAACTTTAAATTATAATGACACTGAGAACCTTTTGAAAATTTCTACC